GGGGGGAGGACAGTAGGTCCCCCCCCCTTATTGTTTTATTAGGGGCCCCACCCACCGCTCAGGGGTGGGGGCCGGGGGGAGGACAGTAGGTCCCCCCCCCCTCATTATCTTCATGGCCCCCACCCGCCGCTCAGGGTGGGGGAGGGGGGGAGGACAATAGGTCCGCCCCCCCTTATTGTAATTTATGTCTTTTTTTTCAACAGTGAGCAGCCATAGGCTGCTCACTGTTTAGTAGACATGCCCCTACTCGCGGTATAGCGAGTAGGGGCATTTGGGAGATTTTAATCTCCCTTGTGCTATTATGGGGGTCATATTGACCCCCATAGAGTGAGAGGGGGTACTGGGGGCTTATGAAGTGGTGGGGAGCACTGCTCCCTGCCGCTTCTATAGTTACATATTACAAGGAGGGAGCTGCATGCCGGTAGCTCCCTCCTTGTAATAAACTAAACGAACAAACATACACTGATACTCAGATACACTGATACATTGTGTTTGTTTGTTTGTTCGGCTGATATACCTATTCACTCATTCGTCTGTCTGATGAATGAATGAATAGCTGAAATTCCCGTTCGCATGTCCAGGTGTTTCACTGGGCATGTGCGGGAATCTCAGTGTCTGCCTAGTGTGGGTAGATGACGTGTCCCTGAGGGACTTCACCTACCCACACAAAGATGGCGGCGCCCTGAATCAAGATCGGGGCAGAAAATAAGGATTTAAAAATAGGTAATGTGGGGGGCTTAGGGGCATTTGGGGGTGACTAGAGGGTCTATTGGATGTAGTGGAGGCGGGAGAGGGGTTAAAAAAAAAACGGGATTCGGCATGACAGTGCCGCTTTAAGAAAGAACTTAAAATTACAGAAGGAGCCAGAAACATGAGAAAGGTTATATCCAAGAAAAACATCTTGGAAATGTCAACAAGTTTTTCGAAACATCACAAAACAAACTGGATGAGCTTTACAATAAACTTGTGTGCAATGCGCATATATTTGTGCCAGACGCAGAAGGTACATTCCGAGACTTTGTGCTTCCTTGTAATGAGCATGTATGTTTATTGTAAATATATTTCAATCATTCCCTAAAGAACATGTATAAATACTGTTATGCATTCAACATGTAAATGTAACCTACAGATATATAGAGGAACATTAGCAGTAGTAACGGTTGCTTTTGATTTAAAATCAGGTGGATATTTTAGAGACTTTAAACAGCAAATTCTAACTTTGTATATATGACGTGACAACTTACCTGTGTCCTGGGTACCTGCAACAATATCTGCTGTATCCAGCCAGAGGAGGAAGATTAGAAGATTATAAAATAAAGCTTGACCATTAAAGGACCATGTTTGTTGTCTGAGGGAACTCAGCTGACACTCTCAGCCAATAAGCCCAGTCCTGCATGGCCCTACTTTGCTCTATAAGGCAATCTGCATTCTCCTGCCAAAGAAGACTGAATGCTGGGGATGCGGTCGCAGATAGAAAAATAGAATGTGACGGCAGATGAGAACAATTAGGTATGTGGATTTATATCATTAGGTGTCCTGCCCACAGACACTTACTGGCAAGGTCTAAACCAGGATTCAAACCTTGGTCTCCCAGTTTTTAAGGCAGTAACATTCCCAGTGCTCTAACAGGCTCATATACAGATGTCAAAGATCTTGTTTTGTGAATACAAAATGTATTTCTGTGTTGCAGAACACCAGCTGTACATTTCCTCGTAAACCCTTGGAGTATAGAGGTCTACAGGTTACACACCGCTCTCTCATACCTTCCTGTAAGAAAGTTATGTCTTGCAGTAGTGGTTATGGTGCCATGCGTGCCCTGGATCCCATTATAAAAAGTCAAACCGTTTTTGAACAGTTTTCATTGTTACCCATAAATCTTCTTTTAAACTACATACGAAGTTACTGAACCTTTGCCTTTAATAATAGACTTTCCTTCCAGAATTAAGTTGTGTAAATTGTCTATTTTGTTCTCACTGTCTTGTAGTATTTTCTGGACAGCAGCAAGATGTTTGACATTCTATAACAGCAATCGGAATAGTCAGATAGATAATTAAGTGAGACGTTGTAGTGTAGGCTTCATTTACCCCTATCTGCTCACAAACCATGATAGACATGGACTAAATAAAAAATGTTCTGTCTCTTTCAGATCAAATTAAACGTAACCAACTTACTTTGGAATTTCCATTTGAATATGCACCGACCATAATCTCTGCTCCATGTTTCACCTTTAGCTCAATGCTCAGCTGTTTCTGCAAAGCAGTCAGCTTCGCGTTATCTGCCTGGGAGCTGGTGTCATCCTTAGGAGCAGCTGAGATCTCTGGACATCACGGAAATTAGTAACAAGAAAAAAAATACAGAATTTAGAAATGTTGGCAGACAAATTAACTTAATAAATAGAAAAGGCAGTACATTAACATTTGTAAGTAAAGATATTGTAATTTACAGAAACCTTGAGAGCAGCAGAAAATCAACAAACATCACTGCAGCTAAAAGTCCTTTCGTGCTTGATGACATCACAGGGGGACGCCATGAACAAGATTTTCTGTGGGGTGTCACCAGGCCCGGACTGGCCATCGGGCACACCGGGCAAATGCCCGGTGGGCCGCAGTGGCCATGGGCCGAGGCCGGCAGGGGAGGTATTCCATGGAGGGCCGGTGGGGAGATCAAAGATCTCCCTCACCGGCCCATTTAAATAGACCTGCGGCTGGGGAGGGAGGGAGAGGACCCGGCGGAGCTCTATCTTGCAGCTCCGCCGGGTTACTCTCGCGAGATCGGGAGCGTTGAGTTCACTCACCACTGGACCACCAGGGATGGTGTGCGAGTGCCGGTCCCTCCCCTCCCAGTCTAAAGGTAAGAAGGGAGGGGGGATTTAATGCCTGCTTAGTTTTTTTTTATTGTTTATTTACCCCCTTAGTTTTTTATTGTTTATTTACTCCCCTTAGTTTTTTTTATTTGTATGTTTACCCCCACTTAGTTTTTTATTTGTTTATTTACCCCCTCAACACACAACATTTATACACAGCACTCTCACACACATCATACACAGCACTCACACACTCAGCACTCTCACACACAGCACTCACTCTCACATACAGCACTCTCACACACATCACAGTCAGCACTCACAACACTCTCACACACAGCACTCTCACACACATCACAGTCAGCACTCACAACACTCTCACACACAGCACTCTCACACACATCATACACAGCACTCTCACACAGCACACCTCACACACAGCATTCATCACACACACATACTGCACCCCTCACATACACATCCAACCCCCCGATACACTGCATCACACACATACACAATACTTCCAAACATATTTATATAAAATAAAAATATATATATATATACACAGCACCCCTCACACACACACTGCACCCCTAAACACATTACATTCCAGATACACACTAGATCCTTTACCAAACTCTGAATCATCTACACACATACACACACACTAGATCCCTATATACACTCTGAATCCGTTATATATGCACGCTCACTAGATCTTATACATATTCTGGGTCCTTCAAACACACACAAGACTCTATTTATATATATATATAATACACAAGATCCAGCGCACTCACCTATCCACTAAACAGCAACTTCAATGTTGAAAGAAACATAGAAACATAGAATGTGACGGCAGATAAGAACCATTCGGCCCATCTAGTCTGCCCAATTTTCTAAATACTTTCATTAGTCCCTAGCCTTATCTTATAGTTAGGATAGCCTTATGCCTATCCCACGCATGCTTAAACTCCTTTACTGTGTTAACCTGTACCACTTCAGCTGGAAGGCTATTCCATGCATCCACTACCCTCTCAGTAAAGTAATACTTCCTGATATTATTTTTAAACCTTTGTCCTCTAATTTAAGACTATGTCCTCTTGTTGTGGTAGTTTTTCTTCTTTTAAATATAGTCTCCTCCTTTACTGTGTTGATTCCCTTTATATATTTAAATGTTTCTATCATATCCCCCCTGTCTCGTCTTTCCTCCAAGCTATACATGTTAAGATCCTTTAACCTTTCCTGGTAAGTTTTATCCCGCAATCCATGAACCATTTTAGTAGCCCTTCTCTGAACTCTCTCTAAGGTATCAATATCCTTCTGAAGATACGGTCTCCAGTACTGTGTACAATACTCCAAGTGAGGTCTCACCAGTGTTCTGTACAATGGCATGAGCACTTCCCTCTTTCTACTGCTAATACCTCTCCCTATACAACCAAGATTTTATTTGTTTTTTTAAAAACACCTAATCTAGGCAAAAATAATGGGGGTTTAGTTACATTATATGATCATACATTGCATAAGTCTGCCACAACGTCAATGTACCCCATCTTTGGCAGGTCCTACACTAACAGCCTAATGTCTGCTCTTATGAGATTAACCTACTTGGGGAAAAAAATTCCATCTGGGGCTCTCTGCAGTACAAGGCTAAATAGGGCCCTGGGATGAGATCTTTCAACATTGAAGTTGCTGTTTAGTGGATAGGTGAGTGCGCTGGATCTTGTGTATTGTATTATTTGGCCCCCAGCAGCACCCCCATTTATGCATGTTAAGGTGAGTGCAGCCAACCCCCTCTTGTTTTATATATATATATAAATATATATACACACACACACTCTCTCTGGATCCCCTATACGCACACTAGATTCCTTGTAAGCAAACACATACTACATTCCCTGAACACACACTCTCTACAAACACTACATCACCTATACACACACACACACACACACACACACACTATAGCCTTGCACACACTTGCTACATCCC